CGACTTGTGTGGCACTTGAAATTCATTTCAGTCTCTCAAAAAATTACAATGCTGTTGTTCGCTATGATGATGCCGACATCATTGTGATCATCTTGGCACAGGTGTCAAAGTTTTCTCTGAAAGTGTGGCTTGATGTTGGAAAGAACTCCGACAATACAAGGGGGTATATCAATGTATCTGCAATAGCTCGTCATATAGGTCCTGAAATGTGTGCTACATTACCAGGCCTTCACGCATTTATAGGGTCAGACTACACCACAACCGTTTTTAAGAAAGGAAAGCCTTCACCTCAGCATTTTACAAACTAGGCGAATCACAGATCCTTGATCCGGAGGTTCAGCAGGACATTGAGTCATTTGTTTGTCATATGTATGGATCAAATTCCGAGATCTATAGATTCAACCCGTTACCACATATTCCTTGACCATTTCCCACCAAAACAATCTTCCAAGCCCTTTGAGAAATAAAGGAATGCGACCCAAGCATGTTTGCACCATCAAAACTTGTGCTTGAGCAGAAAATTAAAAGAGTGAACTTTGTCTCTAACATGTGTAAATCGGCAACATGTAGAAACCTCATAGCATGGAATCCTCAGCATCATGGATGGAGACTCCAGGGTGACAGGTTTATCCTAGCCTGGTTTACAGGAAAGCAAGCACTAGATGATGTAGGCATCTGCATAGACAGTGATATGATTGGCGAACAATATGTGGAAAGTACATTCAACTTCTGATGAGTCTGACAGTGATGAAGATTGAAATACCATGTGTCATGTTAAGTAAAACAGAATTTATCAACCAATGATACTTTGTAGATTGAAAATGTGTAATGTAAATTTCTATTGTACGCTGGTTCATTGATATTTTGACTCCAATCAACCACTAATAGTTTCATGCTTTCAATATGCCTATATGGTTGTACACACTGTATAGACAATATTTGTAAAATGTATGATAATACATTGATATATGTATTTGACTTATACCTCTACAATTCACAATTAGTAAATTAGCATTGATGTCAATAATGTGTGTAACCATGATAGATATTTCAGTGATCACACTAAATGACGCATTTTATTGTAAGTTTGCTGCATGCTTCTCCATCGTAGTGCATATTATGTAATTGTTGTAACACAGTAACATGTTTTGTGTTTCAAACATTAAATTTTTTACAATAAATTGGATTAATTATTTAATATGCTGTTTGTAATTTTTTATATGAAATAAGATAGTAGATTTGGTGCAGCTTTTGCTGTAAGAACTTACAAGACCTTTATCAGCGAACTTTTGACGGAAAAATGGACAATTTTCGTCTTGGTAACATTTAACAATTTTGAGCTACACAGAAGCAACATTATGATGTATAACAGCTATGATTTTTAACAAAATGATACTTTTAGCCAAAATTGCACATGTACATAAACTATTAAACCCCTTTTTAGATCTTTCAGTTGAAATTTTATTAAAGTTAATGGAAAACCGCAGATTTTTTAGATATTTTTAATCTTTAGACGGTGTTATCCAACCAAAATCCCATAATTTTATTATTTCTTGATTACACCATCTATTGTCACCAAATTAAGACCAAAATGAGTATGATATATCAACTCATAATGGTTTCTAGGGCCCAAATTCCGATTTTTTAACCGCAGGTTTTTTCGACCTTGGCATAAGCCGTATCATGTTTCACCGACAAACCTCTTACTGGTGCCACCAAGAAATTGATTTTCTTATTTTACACCATTTTCTGAGTCAGAATACATATTCAAACCTTTTGACCTCAGACACATGATTAAATTGGTCTTGAGTCTTAAACTATTAAAACTGGAACAAAAATCCTAAGCAGATTATTCACATCTAGAAGCAGGTAAATACTAAAATTTAATTTCAGAAAACTGTTTTATTATTTTAACATTTTATCTTGAAGGACCAAATTATTTTCTTATCACATATTTTCAATGCATCCCGATTAGTAAAAGTAGAATAACATAATAATGACCTTACTGTAGCATTATATTTTACACAAAAAGCTTGAAATGCAGGAATGAGTTTCGTAGAAATATATATGCCTCGTTAGTGTTCTGTTTCAGAAATTTTAGGCACTTAAATTTGTTTCAAAACCACACTATTTGAACATATTAAATTACCTCTTATCTGTTCTTTATGTTGTAAAATCTTCTAAGTATGTGTATTCTCAGAATAAGTGATTTCCACAAAGAGTGTCAAGTAGGTCCACTCTATAACGGGAAATTCATGCAGGATAATTACAGAGTAAATCTGAATTTAGCTAAAGTGACTGAGTTTGAAGCTAAGAGAATAAGCAGACTGTACACGTGATGTAAAGTGTAAAGCAAATTTTATCTATATTACAAAGCAAAAAAGCACTGTGCATACTTGCATAAGATATAGGACTATCTCTATTACACCATTTATATTAAAATATTTTAAGATGTTGCAACTTATGGGCATAAAATAATGAAATATCTTTCGAAAAGTGTATATTACATGTACACTTTGTCGAAAGATACCTTTAGGCTGCACTGAAATGCACACTTTTTATGTTGCCTAAAGCATTGGCCACCCTACAAGATGGCTATCAGACAAGGTAGTGCACCATGCTTTGCGTAAAGTGTGATTTAGGACACAGCCTTGGAAACTATTTCTGGATGAGACTGAAGTCACAAGCAATATCGAGCACGTCATGTCTACAGTTTCTGACCAGTTTAATTTTCTGAAATGTGGAAAGAGGTCCAGTGCAGGCCAGTTCAACAAACATAACAAAAACAGCGATTGTAATATATATATATATACATATGTTTGTGTGTGTGTGTGTGTTTAAGAGGTCTTTAAATCAGGGGAACAGACACATATACCATACTCCCCACTGCTGAAGGCACAGGGGTCCTGTCCTTCTTCCCCCTCCAGGATCGGCGCCTATTCCCATAACAACTAGTGCTATCTACGTGACTGGTCATTTTCATACAAGATATCATCTACTCAGCTAGTGAAATACATTGCTGTCGTTAATGTGCTTGCACAATGTGCAAATTTGCAGCAATATCCCCAAAAACAGAACAGGTATTACCCACAAGTGAACAACAAATGAACAAAGGCAGCTAGGACGAACGAACTTAACGGTTTTTCTGGACCACAATGCATAGGATAAGACAAACAGAGCTGGTATTACTTACAAGAGAACAACAAAGGAACGAAAGCAGCTAGGACGAACCAGCTTAACGGTTTTTCTGGACCACAATACAAAGAATAAGACTAAACGAAAACTTTTGAAATGTCTCTCATTAATATAAGGGGCAGGAAACACATAGAATGCCTGCATACCACACGTATGGAATTCCGAAAAAAAATGGTACCGGTAATAATGACACCAGTGATAATGCAAGGTAGCGAGGTACTCCGATGGCTCAGTGGTAAGCTTTATAGCTTATATTGCTAAAAATTGGGAAAAATTATACACTAAAAATGACACAGTTTCTTCCTAAAAATAAAAAATACTGAAAATTATGAATCTTTATTATTTTTAAGCACAACTGGTTGCCTGTTCTATTTTTTTTTTACGGGGATCAAGTCCCGAATTATAGCGTTATAAGACCATAAAATTTCCACTGGGTCATTGAGTAGGCTTAAGATTGTTTATCCCATTTTGCATTATCACTGGTGTTATTTTGACTGGTGCTACACTATTATTTCTATGATTTTTACCAGTGCCATCACTTTCTTTAGCTCAATGGTAAGTCTTCAGGTTTACGATGCTTAGAATCGAGTGTCAATACTCGTGGTTGGCAAAGCACAGATGGTCCACTGTATAGTTTGCGCTTAAAAACAGCCAAACAAAACCAGCGCCATTGTTACCGGACACTTCGCATGTATTTATTTTTATTTCACTTTTATTTATCAAATACAAAAATGAATGAATATCTTTTGTACTTACTAAAATTATACATTTATGCTTATTGTGTTTTACAGATATATCTTTATATACTTGTTCTTATTTCTAACTGTATATTAGTCCATAAAATCAGTTCGTTATGAACGGTAGATGTCACTTTTAAGTTTTATGAAGACGTTAATGG